GGGGGTTATGCGGAAAATGGGTAGGGGTGGAATCCCTGGGGGGCAGCTCTGAAGAATAAAGGAGTTCATTAAGGTTAGCAGTTCATTAAGAACAGTGTCTTCCAAATGCAAGAACAGTCCAGGAGTGCAGGTAGGTCTATCAGGAGACTGTCTTGCCTTTACAGGGAACTCATGGCTGCACCCTAGTCCTACTGCAGTATATGGGAGGTAGAAGCAGGTGTGGGGTACAAAGGAAGAATCCACAAACACTGGCCAGGCATGTAGGAATGGTTTTTTGGAAAGCCAAAGCTCACCTGTAGTTGATGCTTGCAAGGGATCAAGGTCAACAAGAAGAGCTTTTATGACTTTGTTAGCAGTAAAAGACCGAACAAGGAAAAAGTGGTCCTGTTGCTGAATGGTGTGAGGGATTTAATAACATGGCTGGAGTAACACAGATAAGGCTGAGGTGCTCAGTACCTTCTTTGTTTCAGTCTTTACTAATAAGGTCTCTCAGATCTCTATACTCAAGAAGGGTTCAGGGAGGAGAACAGCAACAGCGGATGAAGATTGAGTCAGGGATCAGCTGGGAGATCTTCACCCATACAAGTCCATAGGGCCAGATGGGCTGTACCTGAGGATGCTGAGAAAACTGCCTGATACCTTTGCAAGGCTGTTCTCTTACCTTTGAAAGGTCGCAGAGAGCATGGAAAGTCCACTACAATGGAAAGCAAATATTGCACCCATCTGCCAAAAGGATGATCTAGGAAACCATAGCCTGCTCAGCTCCACTGGCCTCCTTGGAAAAACTGTGGAGTAAGTCCTCTTGGAACACGTTTTTGGGTACATGAAGGAGAAGAGGGGGACTGGGAACAGTCAGTGTGGATTTGCCAAGGCTAAATCATGCCCGACCAACCTGAATGCTTTCCATGATAGGTTTGTGAATAAAGGGAGAGCAGTAGTGGTCATTTACCTTGGCTTTAGCAAGGCTTTCAATATGGTCTCTCACAGTAAGCTTGTATCCAAGTTGGTATGTTACAGTCTAAATGGGTGGACAACCAGATGGGTAAAAATCTGGTCATACTCTATGTGGAGGCCAGTAACAAGTTGGGGTACTGGAGGAGTCTGTACTATGGCCTGTTTAGTGTCTTTAGTAGTGACCTGGAGGAGGTGGGGGAGTTCACTCTTGCCTGCAGAAAACACCAAATTGGAGAGACCAGCTGATACGCTCGAGGGCAGGACTGCCATACAGAGGGACCTAAACAGGCTGGAGGGGTGGGCTAACAGGAACCTTATGAAATGCAGCAAAGTCCTAGGAAGGAAGAACCCCTTGCAACAGTACAGCCAGGACTGGCAGGAGAGCAACTCTGCTGAGAAGAAAGCCCAAAACTAAGAAGGGAACAAAAAAAAAGGGAATTTGGAAGGTGAAATAGGAACAAGGGTGTTGATGAGAATACTTGCCTTGCAGGGTGTATCAGAGGACTGGGAAACCTGACTCCTCCTTACTCCATGCTTCTCCTGCGTTGTGGTGATCTGTGTCTCCAGTCAGGTCATTTAACTTTTGTTTCATCATTCTGTCACTCATAAATAATAGCGATTTGCTTGCAACATTCAGTAGACCTTTGAGTTCCTTGGATGAAAAGTGCCTAGATGGGAATAACTCTTAAAAGCTAAGTGACTGATACTAGGAACAAATAACGAACGTTTTTTTCCCCAGTAAGCTGTATATTATATTATAACCAAGTAAAAATGTTAATGTGAATGGAAAAAATTAAAGCTGGGAAGTGAAGGAGCAGTGTACTGGGAAGATGGTCCTCCCCTTTAAACACAAGAGGGAAATGTAGTGTAGTCCTGGTTAACATAATTGCTTTGAGCAGTGCAGGGTGAGCCAATTTTTCAAATTGCGCGCAAGATTTCTGTCCTGCTTACTTTTCGTTGGGTTGCTAGACTGATGAAGTGGACTTCTTTGCTTCCTTCGTATGCTTCATTATAGAGTAAATGGCCTGTTGCGGGTTGCTGAGGTAGGGTCAGAAGGAAAAATGGCTAATTCTTAAATATCGTCTTGGTATGCTTGCTAAAACAAATCTTGCTAAGTAACGATGTATCAAAATCTTACTGTGGTTGTTAGCCCACTTGGGGTAACAGATCTCAGCAGTCCTGCAGATGGGAAAATGGTTTGGTGAGGGCTTAAATCCTTGTATTCTGGTTCTTCCTGATCATGCACAGATAAAGCTTATATGTGCATATTCTTCCATGTGAAAGTTGAACGTAACTAAGCAGTAATTTACTATAAACTGTGTAAAGGGTAGAGTAGGAATTTACTTTTCTGCCTGGTCATTCATTTTCTGCCTACTTCCCGCCTTTTGAAGGAAGTGAGTATTGAAGTTGGGTATACATACATTAATTCTTTGGAATCAGTTAAGTATTGCTAGCTTTCCTCATCTTCCCCCTAAATATGTTAGTGCTTCTTTAATTTTGTTTAAAGTTGTGGGTATAATACAGGCTCTTGAAGTTATTCCTGCTTCAAAAGACATACAAGACATACAAGTAATTAATTCAGTCACAGGAAAACCTTGGAGTAAGCTAGGAATTTGAATATGTGTATTTCTGGCTGACTGAGTTTTAACAAATTGGTTGAGGAAAAACACATGTAGCATTCTGATAAATACACAACTTCAAAAATGTTAGTCGTCTGAAAAAAGAAAGAAATTATAAGCAGCAGTGAAATATCTCAGCCGTCTCTCTACGTGCTATCACTTAGTTTATTTCCCAGTGTAGAACTGAGCTTAGCATTGCAGAATGTAAGTAGTTCTGCTGTAATGGTTGTCAAGTTTGACTTTCTTGCTTTTTCCCTGCTAGTTCTTATGGAACCTGCTTACAGAGAATTCAATTCCTGTTTTGGAGGGTCATTATGTAATCTCTTCTGTATTTTGTGGCTGATTTCTTCAGATAATTTAATGCAGATTTGCTAATCTACATTTTTCTTTATGGTTAAAATGACCAATGTGCAAATGTTACTTCAAGACTTCAGCTGACAAACAGCAATTAAGCTTCACATATCCTAAGAGTGAAGAGTATGGTATAGGTAACACAGTGTTAAAATGGTTTAGAGGCCAGAGCCAGCTTCTGGCCATAAATACTTCTGATAATTGTCAAGTCCTTTTGCCTGTCTTTCCAGTTAAGATCCTTGATGAGAATCCACACTATTATCCCTCAGCAGAAGCCCTCTTCAGCCGCAGGGTATAGGTGTTTGTGAGGGAACGAGGAGTGCTAACTAATGTCTGTAACGTTTATAAAAGAAATAGCTTTTGTTTCACAGTAAAAACTTGTTACAATGCTGATTAGGTAATTCATACTATACTTGCTTGTTACAAAAGAGAATAAAATACATATCATCAGCTCTGTTTCTGAGCTATGCACCTCATTTTTTATCTGCCTTCAGCTTCTGTGTGCAAAATTCTTTTTTAGTCATCCATTTTTGCAATGTTTTGTCATGCATCTAAACTAAGCAGGGGAATAGGTCCTCAGAATGTCTTGCTGAGTTGCATTTCAGGTTGTTCATTGCCAGAGAGATTCGGGTTTGTATGTACTTTGTAAAGAACTCTGGTTGTTGGTCTTTGCGGTTGTTATTAGTACAAATGAATAATTATATTTGAAGTACCATGTAAAACAAAGGCAGCCAGAAAGCAAGCCAGAATAACAATTTCTGGTAGTCTGATTTGCATAGTTCAAAATCTAGAAAATGCTGCCCATGTGTAGGAGGATTGCTGGTTCTTCTTTAAAGTTATGTTTTAGATTTTTGTTACAGATATAAAAGTAACTACTTGGGGGTAAAGGGTATGTGGGAGGCATTGCAGTGAGTTTCTGAAACTCCTGAAGTCAAAGATGCAATAGAGAGCTTTGAAAGGATAAATATTGTAGTGTAAGTAATTTATTGAACATGTCTCTTTTAAAAACAAACAAACAGCTTTTAATTAGTTTTAATACCATATTGACAGTCTTTTGGACAAAGACAGTCCATTCTCTTCCAAAGATAAGATACTAGTGATGGGAGTTCTCTCCACATTTGCAGGTTTTGCACATACAGTGCTTCTGATTAAATTGTTACAATTTTGAATAAAAAGGTACTTTTCCTCCTTTTTTTCTTTTTTTTTCTTCTTTTTATTAAAGATGTACTTTCCATGTACATGTTCTCACACTAACATTTTTTCAGAAGCAGCAACAGGAGCAATGGACTATTTCTGCCTTGCCCATGCAACAGTCAGGAGGAAAGGATAACGTAATGAAAATTAGTATTTAGGAACTCTCTGAGCTGGAATGCATAAGTTCAGGCATCTGACAATATATAGGCTACTATACTGTTTCTAGATCTTATCAGCTGCCAATTACAAATCCATCTAACTTCTTACCTTATCCATTCCATTATTGTTGTTCCAAACAGGAGACTTTCATTCGCCATCTGTGAATTTTTTCCATATTTTTATTTGTATGTGCATGTATAATATATACAGAGAACACATTTAATAAAATGTCCTTAAAAATCAGCTTGCTTTGGTCTGCATAAAATAATATCTATATTGGACAATGCTGTAAGCTGTGACATTTGCATAACACCATAAACAAGACCACCCTTCCTCAATGACTTGCAGTTGGTGACCTTGAAACCTTCTATGGATCTGGGGATACAGCAGCAACTCTGTTCTCCAAATAGACCTGACTGGCTTCTTTTTTCAGAAAGTAGGAAGTCTAGAAGACTGGTTATTTTTGGATGACTGGGTGAAACAGAGCTTCACATGCATTTTTCTGCTATGAGGTTATGTATTAGTACTCATTGTATGTTAAGCATTTCTTTCCAGGGAGACAAGGATATTCTCTCCCAGAACTTGAAGGCAGAGCCATTAGCTTTCATGTTACTATGCCAAAAAAACCTTCTTGCAGTAAGAAAGAGGGATTGATTTCTTTTCTGCAGTGGTGTCTGTGCCTCAGCAAATCCTGAAGATGGCATTGGCCTCCTGCTTCTTTCTTCATTCATCTTCAACATCATCCTCTGCTCTCTGATTCCTTGTAGGTGTCTCCTTGAAGGGTTCATTTCTATCTTCTCGCTCCCTAAAACATTGTTCAGGAGTAGAGATATTAATTGAAACCAGCTAGAAATTCTACTGAAGAGGTTTTGTGTTAGAATGGTTTTAGACCGCTCTAAGCTGACCTGGAAGTGTACCAAACTGAACTCCGTAAATTAAGTCTTGCTGGTGATGCAAGAGGTGCATGAGCTACTTTTTTTTCCATAGCATGTATGTAGAGAAAGGGTGACTGGTGTATCTTTTCTCATCCCACTTTTCTTCCAATGATCTGTTTCCATCATGAGAATAAACAAAAGGTTTCTATCCTGGAGCGATAATTCTGAATACAGAGCCTCATGGTGATTTAGGCTAGCAAGGACAGAAACAGGTATAGGGACTCGGGGAAATGAGAAACAGTCTGGGTTTTGCTTATCAAGTAGCTGTGCGTGCTTGACTGACTTGGGCTTGCTGATTCAGTTCCAAGGTTTAAATGTTTGGGTTCTACCCCAGAGACTACAAAGGTGTCTGGTAATACTGGGCATATTCCGTGAGAAGAGATGGGAGCCACTAGGGTAGAAACTGAAAAGAGAAAGCAGTGCACGCTTTCCTTGATTTCTTTTTTCTCCTGTGCTTTCCACCCCCTATGTTGGTGCCGGAGAGAGAACATGAACCCTTCATATGTTCCATTCACTTCTCTAGAGAAAGGTACTTACGTCATCTCATAGTCCTTGTCCTTGTCCGCCCGACAGCAGCAGCAATAGGCTAAAATACCAATAACTATAATTGCAGCAACAGCTCCACCAATGATGCCAGCGTAAAGAGCTATGTTCATGGATGCTAAGCAGGAAGAAAAGAATTACCCCTTTGCAGTGAGAATGATATCAAATGCAATCAGCACAATCACTGGACTTCAGATCTCACCACCAGATGTCAGCTCTCACTACCAGATCCAGACTGGATGGAAGCCACAATTATTTGACTACAGCAACTAGAGTTAATTCTGTACTGGGTAGCTGATAAGTCTGCAGGAGCAACTAGATAGATAGTGATAGGGAGGAGCTCCTGGATCTGAACAACTGCTGTACTTTGTCGACACAGTTTAGTTTCAGGCTTTGGGGGCTCAGGCCTGTCTCACTCTACACGTTTTTTTGTCATCTGTGAACTAACCCTATGCGTTAGTGAGTGCTCTATGAGCATGTAAACCAATGCAGAGAATCTGTCTTAAAGGTAAAAAAAGTGTGCTATTTTTTTGAAAGAAAGCAGAATTTTATACTTCTGTCTGCATTGCCTCCATTAATCCTTTGCTGCTTAGCTAGGGTACTTTCTCTGGTACTGCTCTTCTAGTAAGCAACCCCGTCTCTTACGTGGCACAACACTGACTGTCATGTTGCAGAATTCCTTTCCCACAACGTTTGTTGAAGTGCAGATGTAAAAGCCAGAGGTATCCGCCGAGATGTTCTTCAGAGTTATTTGTTCCCCTGTTGGAAACACAAATCCAGTCCAAAAAAGAAAAGAATTAAAGCAGGGAAGGAAGCGGGGACAGCAGCCCTTCAATTCTAGCCCAGGATAGTGGGAGTGATGAGAGGTTATTAAAGCTGATGGATTGCTCCGACTTGCTCAGGAGCTGCTATGCTAGTCCCTAGGTTTTAGTGTGACTTGTGGGAGGACAAACGGAAGTGTGCTGTTTTGATTACAGGGAACGTGTGGCATTTGAACATTCCTTTTAGAAAGAAAATTGTAGGTGGAGGGTAAAGAAGCATGTGTGCTTAGTGAAAGCTTTTTTTGCATTGGATTTTGCTGGGAAATATAAGCTGGCCCAAACTGGCATCTGGCTGTGAGAACCGGCCTTCTGATGAGTTAACTTGTAAAACAACACAAAGCTCTTCAATCCTCCAGCTCTTAGGGTTTCAGATCTGAATTGTTTAGCAGTGGGGAAATAGCTTTCTAGTCCTGGAGAGGCCATGTAGGCTGTGAAAATAAGTGAAGGAAAAGAAGTGCAGTGACATGGCATTGCTATGACAGTGATGTTTCCTGTCCAACCCAACAGAGCTCGGAACCATATACTAAAGCTTAGCTCTGTCTGCTCAAGCAGTCAGTTTTTGTTTGTTACATCTCCAGCTGACATTTGTATGTGTAGTCCATGCTTTTTGCCTGTGACCTACTGAGAAAGGTCCAGATTCCTGCTCTAAAAGCAAAAGGCTCTGAATACTTTTCAGTGACTTTCCTGTTTTATTTTCCCTGTGATCTCACTTCTTTCCAGTCCACTCGTGGGACTGGGATTCTGTTTAGTCTTTGCTGACGCCTACCGCCAGACAGTAAAAGAGCATGCTTGCTTTTTTTTTTTTTTTTTTTTTTTTTTAACGAATTGTCCTGTTT